CTATACCTATTTGTGCTTTTCCCCGGCCCTCCAACTGGAGGAGAGTAGTGAAGTCAACATTTTTCCTATCTGGGAGATAGTCTTCTCTTTGAGCTTGTTTGAATGCTTACAAATGCAGCTCACAAAATTAAAGAAAATCTAGCTCTTTTCTAGTTTTTTTTTCTCTCTCTTTGAATGAATAGCAATTGAACTACCATCCAATTCCCCAAGTCAAAGGATAGTTGTCTTTATTCCTTTTTCCCTCATTCCCCATAGACAAGTAATTATACAACTCTACTTTGTGTTTTGTGTGAATGAATACTGGGTCTTGAATTCAAGGCCAGGGCACTGTCCCTTAGCTTCTTGCTCAAGACTGGTGCTCTACCATTTAAATCACAGCTCCATTTTTGGCTTTTTTTGTGGTTAATTGAAGATAAGAGCTTCATGGACTTTGCTGCTTGGGCTGGGTTTGAACCAGGATCCTTAGTTCTCAGCCTCCTGAGTAGCTAGGATTACAGGTCTGAATCACCAGGACTCCTCTTTTCTCCTCTCCCCTCCCCTCCCCTTTCTCCCTTTTCCTCTTTTTCTGCCCTCCTCCTGTGAGCTGTTGGTAGTAGTAGAGTTTGAATACAGGACCACAGGCTTGTTAGGCATTCTTCATTACTTGAGGCATGCCCCAATCCTCTCCTCGAGTCCCTCATTTCTCCCAATCTCCTCTGTTCCCACTCTACTTCAATCTTGCCTCATCTCATACATAGTCAGACCATGGTCATCTACCCTTCACTCCTTCCCATTTATTCCACAGTCATTTTCCCCACATATTTACCTTATCCAGTCACACACCTCACCCAGCTAAAAACATGTTAATGGCTCCAGAGTTCTTAACATGGCCCACAAAGCCATGCTCATTTTACCCCATTTACCTTTCCTATCTCATCCCCTAGCAGACCTTCTCATGTAAGTCTTGTGAGGCTTTTACACTAGGGTCCTTCCAAACACTCACCTTTATACATTTGTTCCTTCTAGGTTCAGTGTTCCTAACTGCTCATACCTAGGCTTGTTGATTCCCACTCCAGATTTCCAATCAAGGTAACTTTCTCAAGAAAGCCTTCCCCAGGGGCTGAGAAGGTGGCTCAGTGGTAGAGCGCTTACCTTGCATGCATGAGGCAAGGGGTTCGATTCCTCAGCACCACATAAGCAAAAAGAAAAAAGCCGGAAGTGGCGCTGTGGTTCAAGTGGTAGAGCGCTAGCCTTGAGCTGAAGAGCTGAGGGACAGCACCCAGGCCCAGAGTTCAGGCCCCATGACCGGGCCCCAAAAAAAAAAAAAAAAAAGCCTTCCCCAAACAAGCCCCTTCTTTTTTTGGGGGGGGGGTCCACTCATGGGCCTGAACTCTGGGCCTGGGCGCTGTCCCTCAGCTCTTCACCTCAAGGCTAGCACTCTACCACTTGAGCCACAGTGCCACTTCCGGCTTTTTTTTTCTGCTTATGTGGTGCCTCATGCATGCAAGGCAAGTGCTCTACCACTGAGCCACCTTCCCAGCCCCACAAGCCCCTTCTTATATGACAGTTTCCTATCCCATCTATGTTCTCCAATTTATTTATTTATTTTTGATTGTGGGGTTTGAAATCTGGGTCTGGGTACTGTTTGGTTACTGTTCCTCAGCTCTTCAGCTCAAGGCTAGTGCTTTACCATTTGAGCCACAGTGCCACATCCAGTTTTCTGAGTGGTTTATTGGAAATAAGAGTCTCACGAACTTTCCTGCCCAGGCTGGCTTTGAACCATGATCCTCAGATCTCAGCCTCCTGAGTAGCTAGGATTACAGGTGTGAGTCAATGGTGCTTGGCCTGTTGTCCAGTTTTTTTTTTGGGGGGGTCCAGTCATGGGGCCTGAACTCTGGGCCTGGGCGCTGTCCTTCAGTTCTTCAGTTCAAGGCTAGCACTCTACCACTTGAGCCACAGCACCACTTTCGGCTTTTTTCTTTTTTTGCTTATGTGGTGCTGAGGAATCGAACCCAGGGACTCGAGCATGCAAGGCAAGCGCTCTACCACTGAGCCACCTTCCCAGCCCCTGTTGTCCAGTTTTTGAATAATACATTTATTTGGTTACCACCTATCTCTGCTAGCAGAGTACAAGTACTATGAAAGCAAGAGTCAGGTAGAGATTTTGCTTATTGTATTCCTGACCCATAATAGATGCTGAGTATGTGAACATTGGAATTAATTTTCTTCCTTAAAAATTTAAGCTGGATGCCAGATGCCAGTGGCTTATGCCTGTAATTGTAGCTACTTAGGGGGCTGAGATCTGAGGATCATGGTTCAAAGCCAGCCCAGGCAGGAAAGTTCATAAGATTCTTACCCCCAATAAACCACCAGAAAATTGGAAGTGGCACTGTGGCTCAAGTAGTAAAGCAGTAGCTTTGAGCTGAAGAGCTCTCAGTGACAGTGCCCCAAACCAGAGTTCAAGGCCACGACTGAAAAAAAAAAAATTACACTGGAGCTGGGAGCTAGTGGCTCATGCCTGTAATCCTAGCTACTTAGTAGGCTGAGATCTGAGGACCATGGTTGAAGACAGTCTGTACAGAAATATCCCTGAGACAGTTATCTCCAACCATCAGAAAACCAGAAGTGGCACTATGGTTCAAATAGGAGAGCGCTAGCCCAGGCCCTGAGTACAAGCCTCAGGACCAGAAAAAAAAAAAGAAAAAGAAAAAAAAAAAAGCAAGCTGGCTAGTTGCTGGTGGCCCATGCCTATAATCCTAGCTACTCAGGAAGCTGAGATCTGAGGATCGCGGTTCAAAGCCAACCTGGGCAGGAAAGTCCATGAGACTCTTATCTCCAATAAACCACCAGAAAACTGGAAGTGGTGCTGTGGCTCAAGTGGTAGAATGCTAGCCTTGAGCTGAAGAGCTGAGGGACAGCGTCCAGGCCCAAAATTCAAGTCCCAGCCCCCCCCCAAAAGAAATAAATAAAAGCTGAAGAAATTTATGGAAGTACACAATGAAACTCCTTTGGGCAATTAAGTTATGCTAATAAAAATTACTTTATCTCCAATAAGTCACCAAAGAGCTGGAAGTGACACTGTGGCTAAAGTGGTAAGAGTACTAGCCTTGAGTGAAAAAGTTCAAGGACAGTGCCCAGACCCTGAGTTCAAGTCCCAGGACTGGTACACATACACACACACACACACAAAATTATTGATGAAACCACAGTAATAAACTCTCTTCAATATGACTAAGACTTAGGAGACAAACCAATAAAAAATTAAAGGTATGCTTTGGAAATTGGAGTCTTTTCTCTAGCTTTACTATGATACAATATTTCTCAGCACGGGATTCCAGTATAAAGAGACAGAAAGTTAATTTAGTTTATACAACTTAGGTTGCTGTAGTGAGTGGATCTGCAACAATTTACGATTTTAACAACTCAATAAGCCTGGTGTTTATCTTCTTAAGTATTGGAGATGGAATACGTCAGAGGAGAAAACGCTGCATAACAAAACATTGTGTTAGAAAACAGATCTGCTATACCACTTGTATATTAACTATCCAAGACCTGTTAAAGGAATTGTGTATTAACTGGGGATCCATGTCCTTGTGTCTCAGCTTCAGAAAGGTTAGACTGGTCTGAAAGACCTGCTGCTTCAGATGGGGGGAGAGGGAGGGAAAGTCCTGGGGGAACCTCAGAAACATTTGACGTCGCTAAACTTGAGTACAATTGTCACATGTGCTTGTACAATAATGTCGCACGTACTTATACAGTAATTGTGGGCGCGCCTAAGTCCCTCCCTCTCTCCTAAACCAATTTCTCCACATCCTAGAAATCCAGCCCTTCTGCCCGCCGGAGGCGCCTTTCCCAACGTTAAGTACAATGTTAAATTGACGAGGAGGAAAAAAAAAAAATGATCCGCAGCCCAGGGCTGGGAGGGAGGGGGGCGGAATCTGGGTGCCCGGGTGCCTGCGGAGGGTGCAGCGGGGCGTGGGCTGGGGCCGGAGGAGTGGGCGAAGCCGCTGGTTGGTGCCTGGAATCTGTGCGTTGCCCCTTTAATTGTGTCCCCGGCCCTCGGGCGTTTCTGCCCAACGCCCACGTCAGCAAATACCTTTTGTTTCTCTCCCGTTGGGGCTACTTGTTTTAGGGCGCCAAGCCTCGGCTTCGGAAGTGTGTGGTGGAGGTGGGGGTGTCTCTCCCCGGCGCCGGGAATCGGGGAGCTTCCCTCCGGCAGCGCGCGCGGCCGGCCAGGGCGCCGGGGCC